CGTCTCGGGCGGGGCGGGGGTGGGGCGCGGTTCGGCGGGGAACGTGTGAAACGCGGATTGAAATTTATACCCCGCGCGCGAGTCGTGGTGCGGTGCGACGCCACCGACGCCGGGGCGCTGGGAGCTAGTCAGTATTCAGCGCGGGGCTCCGACCCGTGACGATGCGCGGCGGGTTGCGGGCTCCGGGTCGCCGGGGGCTCCCTCGTCGAGTTCCCGCCGTCCTCCCGTGTTGCCACGTTTCCTCTCCTCCGCGCTGTGGAAAAAATTAGCTCATGCCTGCGCCACTTGAGTCCTTTTATACTGAGAGTCAAGACAATGTGAATCCATTTCTGAGCGGTTCCCGTATTTTAAGCCTCCACAGTGTCACAAACGGGAATAAAGATTACATGTTCACCGATTGCAAAGATTATAATCTGGAATGGATCAGGGAATTACGGGTTCGGCAAGGAACAAACGGAATGAGAGAAAGAACGGAGAAAGGAATTTGAGAATGGACCGATCAAAGATTACGAAAAACGTTCAATTTGTGTAATCTTCATTCCTGTTTGTGACGCCACGAGGAGGTGTTGTCCTGACTCTCAGTATAAAGGGACTCTAGGTGCTACCAGAGCCGTATCCATAGTCCGAGAAACAGCTATTCTTTTCCTAGGAAGGTTCACAATGGTTTAAGTTGTGACAAAAGGAGGCTTAAGAAGACCTGCATAGCTTCATCAATAGGACAATCTTTACGAGTTCACTCAGGAATGGGTATGTTGCGAACTGACTCGACGGACAAACTGACCCACGAACTGATGGACAAAATACCCCAAAGCCAGGAGAAAATTGCGTTCATGGAGTCTCGCCTAGCAAATTGCTCGCCACTAAATTTGTCAGTCGTCATTTGGCGAATTTTAATTTATTTTTTGTTCATCGAGTTGCACATCAACCATTGCTCAGCGGAAAATATTGTGAACCCTCGAACTTAACTCTGAGTATATTGCATAGATTGTTGGTGCGATATTGTCTCTCCTCGAATTCCCGCCCTCTTGTAGGGTGTCTACAGGTACAGAATTTCCGGAAAGTCCGGAAATAGTACGGATTTTTGAAGGTGGTCCGGAAGTACTGATAAAGTGCGGAAATTCCGCTGGAAGGTCCAAAAGTTTTCATTTTTGTCGCAATTTGAGCGAAAAATTCGAAACGTTGAAATTTCTCGAATCTCGTCAAATGGAGGCACTAAAAAAAGTACTGAATTTTTCCGTTGAGGAGGTACTGAATTTCTCGGGAATGCACTGAAAAAGTACTGTAAAAGTACTGATTTTTGGCCAGTCTGTTTTAGTAGACACCCTGTGGAATCTCGCCCAGCAAATTGCTCGTCCCTGATTGGTCAGTAGTCATTTAGCGAATTTTAATTGATTTTTTGTTCATCGAGTTGCACATTAACCATTGTTCAGCGGAAAATACTGTGAACCCTCGAACTTAACTCGGAGTATATTGCCTAGATTGTTGGTGCGATATTGTCTCTGGGTGCGGCGGGAAGTGTTGGAGAGCTAAGCCCGGAACTGGCAGAGACGCCGAACACGGAAAAATCCGGAAGCGGGAAGCGGCAACCGCCGCCGAAGCCGGGAATCGGGATTTGCGAGTGGCTTCCTGGGGAGGAAGGCGTGGGCGAGGGTGGCGGGGGTTGTCGGGGGAGGCGGGCGGTGGGTGGTGCTATTACGGGCGCGGATGAAGTGACGGATGGAAGCGAGCGTCGAGCGTATAATAAAGAGTGCGCGGCGCTAAAGATTCGGTCGCAGATACTTAAACGAAGATAAATTCAACGCCAGGCTCCAACGAAAAGGGTTGCGCGGGAGTTGATGTAATTAAACACGCTGTTGATCCCCCTCTCTCGCGCCCCGCCCCTCCTCCCCTCCTCCCCCGGCGCGGATGCCTGCGCAGACGACCTGGATCCGCGCGGGGGTGCCGAGTTGTGGGGAGACCCGATCCCCAGATCTCGCCCAAGCTTGAGTACCCCTACATGGACAGAGCAGGGACATGTCGATAATTT